GCCATGTATTCGTGACAATCATATTCTTTTTTCCGATGGCAACATTTATGATTGCTTGCTGACCGTACATTTCTATTCAAGAGAATGATGGTCAACCATGCGTTATATTTATAGGTGATTTTAATGCCCACACCGAGACTGGCTGAATTCTGTGTCCCCAACTGACCGACATGGCATATCTGCCTTAGATTTTGCAGATGTAGTTGGGTGTGAGCAGTTAGTCCGTGATGCAACTCACAGGAGTAGTAATCTTTTGGATCTTTTACTAACCGATGTGAAAGGGGTTGTTGATATAGACTCCATCTCACCGATGGGTTCTTCCGAGATCCAGCTAGACTTTCCTACACCAGATTTTACTCTAACTAGACAAGTCTTCTTTAAGTCTAGAATTAACTGGGGTGGTGTCTATCATGCTTTTGGTAGAAGCTCTGAACTGGTTATTGTTGGACATCATGATGAGGTTTGATATCCAGCAAAACTCGTAAATCTCGTTTACATGATAAAGCATGGTTTAATGAACGGTGTCACCAGGCTTATAGGGACAAACATGCTGCCAACTGTACTCATGATTGTTGGGAGAATTGTTGTCTGCGAAACACTGCAACTAATGGTTATAAATCTGAATATAATGCTCATTTGAGTTGTTCTTCAGAAGCATCAAAGCCTCATAAATGGTGATCAGCAGTTAAAGCATCTCTATTTGGTGTTGAGGCCTCCAATTCCTCCTTTAATGAAACCTGATGGTAGTGTTAGCTACCTTGTTAGCAAATTATATTATTTTAAAATAAAGTTTAGAAGATATTGAACTTCCTCTTGCAAGTCAGCCATTGCCATGCTTGAACTAATTCTGATAAGTATCTAGTAGCAGAATTAGATGAATATGGTGTAGACCCTAATGGCTTTACTTTGATATTAAAACGACTAAATGGCCAATTAGCTGCTAAATTAGCCGTAATCTGACGCCTTTTGGTTCGTAAAGAGTGAATGTTAGGAATATGGTTCGAAGAATTTCATCTAAGTTAGGCATCATTCGCAAGTGCAAGAAGATCTATGATGACAACATTACTCGTAGATGCTTCTTTTCTTTTATTCTGCCTCATTCTGAGTATTGTAGAGTCACACTAAGACTGCTTGGTCGTTCTTTTAATTCTATGAAATTTCTCATCTCAGACAAGTCAGTGAGGACATTTGAACAATGGACATCGTCGGGTTAATGGGCTCTTTCA